GGTCATCTTCCACTGCTTTCCCAGGCCACAGCAGAGAGCTGGATTGGAAATGGAGCAGGTTGGATTCGAACTGGCATCCATATGGGATGCCAGCACTGTAAGTGGCGGCTTTACCTGCTATGCCATAGCACCAAGGCCTTGATAATGTAATTTATGAGTACAATGTAGAATAATTAAATCAGGCCGGCGCTGCGGGTCACTAGGCTAATCCTCTGCCTGCGGCACTGGCACTCTGGGTTCTAGTCCCAGTTGGGGTGTGAGTTCTGTCTTGGTTGCTCCTCTTCTATTCAGCTCTCTGCTGTGGCCTGGGAAGGCAGTGGAGGATGGCCCAAGTGCTTGGGTCCTGAACCCACCTGGGAGACCAGGAGGAAGCACCTGGCTTCTGGCTTCGGATCCACAGAGTGCGCTGGCCATAGTGGCCATTTGTGGGGTGAACCAATGGAAGGAAGACCTTTCTGTCTCTCTCCCTAACTCTGCCTGTAAAAAAAAAAAAAAAAAAAAAAAAAAAAAAAAACAGAATAATTAAATCAAGCAAATAAGCTTATACATCACCTGAAATACTGATCACATGTTGTGATGAGAACATTTGAAATTTATTTCCAGTGATTTTGTACAATACATTATTATTTACTGTGTTCACCACACAGTCAACATATCTAAAGGAAAAACCCTATTATTCTTCTTGCCTCTGGTAGCAACCATTTAGATTCCACATTTAAGTGAGAACTTGCAGTATTTGTCATATTATCTGTGTCTGGCTTATATCATTTGGCATAATGTTCTCTGATTCTAACAATGTAGTTTTAAATGACAAAATTTCTTTTTTTTTAAAAGCTGAATAGGGGCCAGTGTTGTGGCAGAGCCAGTAAAACCGCCAGCTGCGGTGTCGGTGTCCTGTATGGGTGCTGGTTCATGTCCTGGCTGCTCAGCTTCTGATCCAGTGCCCTGCTGGTGGCCTGGTAAATCAATGGGAGATGAACCAAGTGTTTGGGCTCCTGCCACCCACATGGGAAACCTGGAAGAAGCTCTAGATTTCTGGCTTTGGCCTGGCAGCCATCTGGGGAATGAACCAGTGAATAGAAGATTCCTTTCTCTGTGTCTTCCTTTCTCTCTCTGTAACTCTGACTTTCAAAATAAATCTTTAAAAAGGCTGAATAGTATTTTATTCTGTATATTATACATTTTTATCCATTCACTTATTATATAATACAATATTGATATATTCCATAACTTGGCTATTGTGAACAGTGCTTTGGTTAACATGGAATTGCAGACTTGTCTGACATTCTGACTTCAGATTTTTTGGATAAATACCTGATAGTAGGATTTCCTGGTCATATGGTAATTCCTATTTTTGGTGTTTTTGAGGAAATGGTACCATTTTGTATTATGGCTCTAGTAACTCACATTTCTCCCAACAGGGTGAAACGGTTCCTTTTGCTCCTCACCGTTACCAACGCATGTTAGTTTTTTTTTTTTTTTTTTTGGTTAATAGGCATTCTAACTTGTGTGAAGTGATATCTCATTATGGTCTTAATTCGCATTTCCCAATGAGCATTTTTGTAGCCATTTTTTTTTGAATCAGGTTTATTTTCTTGCTATTGACTTGAGTTCCTTATATATTTTGAATATTAATACCTTATCAGGTTATGGCTTACAAATGTTTTCTCCCAATCCACAAGTCATTCTTCACTGTATTTTTTCCTTTATCATCAAAGTTTGTTAGTTAGATGTGATCTCACTGGTCTTTTCTTGTTTTTAGTACCTGCCCCTTAGGGGTCAAACCTAAAAAAATCATCATCCAAACAGTGGAATATAGATTTTTCCATGTGTTTTCCTTTGGTAGTTTTGTAGTTTTTGGTCTTAGATTTAAGTCTTTAATCCATTGGGGCTGATTTAAATATATATATATATATGAAAATATATATATATGAATGTGTATGATGAGTGTTATATATAGTTAGCAATTTTTCTACATTTGCATATTTGGTTTTCTCCAAACAATTCACTGAAGAGATTGTCATTTCCACAGTATGTGTTTTTTTTTTTTTTTTTTTTTTTTTGACAGGCAGAGTGGACAGTGAGAGAGAGAGACAGAGAGAAAGGTCTTCCTTTTTGCCATTGGTTCACTCTCCAATGGCCACCGCGGCCGGCGCGCTGTGGCCAGCGCACCGCGCTGATCCGATGGCAGGAGCCAGGAGCCAGGTGCTTTTCCTGGTCTCCCATGGGGTGCAGGGCCCAAGCACTTGGGCCATCCTCCACTGCACTCCCGGGCCACAGCAGAGAGCTGGCCTGGAAGAGGGGCAACCGGGACAGAATCCGGCGCCCCGACCGGGACTAGAACCTGGTGTGCCGGCGCCGCTAGGTGGAGGATTAGCCTAGTGAGCCGTGGCGCCGGCCCACAGTATGTGTTCTTGCCATCTTTGTGGACGATGATTCATATGTGTGTAGGTTTATTTCTGGGTCCTTATTCTCTTCCATTGGTTGATGAATCTGTTTTAATTACAATGGTTTTTTAATATGGGTTGAAATCAGCTAATATGATGCCTCCAGTTTTGCCCATGGTTGCCTTGACTGTTTGGGATATTTTGCGATTCCACATGATTTTTTAGGATTGTTTTTCCTATTTCTATGAAAAATGGTATTGGAGTTTTATTTTGAAGAAATTTCACTGAATTTGTAAATCACTTTAGGTAGTTTAGACATTTTAATAATATGAACACAGGGGGCGGCGCTGTGGAGTAATGAGTGAAGCTGCCTCCTACAGTATGCCCAAATGGTCGCTGGTTGGAGTCCCACCTGCTCCATTTCCAATCCAGCTCTCTGCTGTGGTCTGAGAAAGCAGCGGAAGATGACCCAAGTCCTGGGCTCCTGCACCCATGTGGGAGACCTGGAAGAAGCTCCTGGCTCCTGGCTTTGGATTGGAGCAGCTCTGGCTGTTGCGGCTATCTGGGGAGTGAGTCAGTGGATGGAAGACCTTCTCTTTTTCTGTCTTGAGTCTGCCTCTGTCTCTCTGTAACTCTGCTTTTCAAATAAATAAGTAAGAGAGGGAGGAGATGTACAATTTGGGACATGCTCAATCGGACTTGCCCCAAGTGGTGGAGTTAGAAATGTGCCAGGGGTTTCCAATACAATCCCATCAAGTTTGCATATACCAATGCCATCTCACTAGTCGAAGTGATCAATTTCAGGTCACAATAGATCACAATGATAAGTCTAAGAGATAAAGGGATCACATAAATAAGACTAGTGTCTGCTAATACTAACTGATAAAATAAAAAAAGGGAGAGAACGATCCAACATGGGAAGTGGGATACACAGCAGACTCATAGAATGTCAGATGTCCAAAACCACACTCTGGCCTCAGAATCAGCCCTTAAGGTATTCGGATCTGGCTGAAGAGCCCATGAGAGTATTTTAGGGATGGAAAGCCAAGACACTCTGGCAAAAAACAAACAAACAAACAAACAAAACACCTAAATGAAAGATCTCTGCGAGTGAGATCCCAGTAGAAAGAACGGGCCATCAAAGAAGGAGGTACCTTTCTCTGAAGGGAGGAGTGAACTTCCACTTTGACTGTGGCCTTCTTGAAATAAGATCAAAGTTGGCAATCTCAGGGGGCTTCCATGGCCTTGGCAACTCATGACTAGAGCCTGGGGAGATTGCTGACACCTTAAACAAGAGTGTCAATTTGTTAAGTCAACAACAGGAGTCACTGTGCACTTACTCCTCATGTAGGATCTCTGTCCTTATGTGTAGTTCAATGTGAATTAGTGCTGTAACTAGTGCTCAAACAGTATTTTGCACTTTGTGTTCTGTGTGGTGGCAAACTGATGAAATCTTTACTTAATATATACTAAATTGATTTTCTGTATATAAAGATAATTGAAAATGAATCTTGATGTGAATGGAATGGGAGAGGGAGTGGGAGATGGGAGGGTTGCGGGGGGAGGAAAGTTATGGGGGCGGAAATCCATTGTAATCCATAAACTGTACTTTGGAAATTTATATCTACTAAATAAAAATTAAAAAAATATATATGAGCACTTCTGCTTGATTGCTCAGGGTGCCTTGGATTGTTTCACATTCTTATTCCTGAAAGCCTCTCTCTCCCTCTGCCTGCCCTGTCTGCTGTTTGCCCCAGCTGACAGGTCCTTGTTTCTGATGACAGCAGGTGGTGCATTTGCCTTTGAATGTTGTTGACAAATGCCCTCCACCAAAGCTGCCCTTGCTGAGGGAGTTCCAGGACTGGGTCCTCAGGGAGTCTCCAGACAGATCAAAGAACACAAACACAGTTCCTGGGAGTGAGGTTCCCTCTGCCTCTGAGGACTCAGCTGCTGTCCTGGAGTCCACCACCCTAGTGGTGAGAGAGGCCGGGCAAGGAGACCTCACAACGCTGCAAGTCTCACTTGCTGCAGTCACCTACACTGGCTCTCTCACTTCCCTACTGCACACTCTAGGTCTGTATGTTTTCTCTGGGAAGACATCAGTGGAGTGCGTGGGTAGGGGCCTTGTGTCTCTCCTTAAAGGGAGACATCAGAGGCTGTGCCAGGGTCTCGCAGCTCAGAAGCACCCTGTGCCCTGCCTGAGCATTCCTGACCTCTGTGGCCTTGGATGCAGCACCCACATATCTGATCTGTACCCTCCAAGTCCCTCCCACTTGGTTAGGCAGTTCCTCCTGAATCTGGAAGAAATTCAAGCAACTCTCAAGAGAAAAGTTAATTAATGCCTGGGGGTAGAATTCCTAATGGGCAAAGGTGATTGGAGCCCCCAGAAGTGATTACATAACAGCAGTGTTTCATTTCATCAGGCAGTTCCTTTACTGATGCACAAGCTCACATTTGTTTCTCATTTCCTGCATTGCCATAGCCCCCCTGCAAGGGATGCATCAGTCCCACAGTGTTTTCTTTGTAAATATCAACTCAGGCGTCTGGGGTGATTTTCTGTGAAGAATGTGCCTGATTCCCTTTGGGGAGGTCAGTTTCCAAGGTTGATAGTGACCGGCTGGAACAGCTTCATAAACTTGAGGTTTAGTTGGGATCAGTCATCTGGTTCTTGCCAGGAGTGAAGGGAAGCTCACTTCCAGGTCAGTTCTTTCAAAGTGTGTAAATTAGAATCTTTCAGCAATTTATGAGACTTTCATTTCCACAGGACCTGAAACCTACACGTGGGGGATCCCAGACACTGAGAGCCAGAAGGGATTGCTGGCTCTGCATGGAAGCAGGGCAGAGAAGAGTTACCTGGGTAAGGCTTGGACTGGGAGACAGGCACTGGTGTTGACAGAGGACAGGCCACCGGGTGACACTGTTCTCCACCTGCCCACCATCTGAGATGCTTGGTTCCTGACTTGGTTCTCATCAAGGTGAGAGATGGGAGCAGGATTCTGAGTGTGGGTGTCAGTAGGTTTGTGTGTGTGAAGGGGTGTGGGAGCTGGAGGGCAGAGGAGAAGTCTGGATGGGAGGGGATAAGATGCTCAGTCATCACCCACAGGTAAGAGATGGCACACGGACTCTGAATCAGCCTGTCTAGGTTCAAATCCAGGTTCTGTACTTTTTACCCATTTCATCTTGGCTAAGTGAGCAAACCTCTCTGCTGGGGTCCCTTATCTGTAAAATATGACATAGCAAACTGCCCATGAGGGTAATTACTAAGTGCAAGGTACTTAAAACTGTGACCTCTACTTAGCATGTATGTGTTACCCATTGCTGTTTCAAGTATGACCTATCTTACAGATTTTTTGTTCAGAAATATATCTTTTTTTTTTTTTGACAGGCAGAGTGGACAGTGAGAGAGAGAGACAGAGAGAAAGGTCTTCCTTTGCTGTTGGTTCACCCTCCAATGGCCGCTGCGGCCGGCGCATCACGCTGATCAGAAGCCAGGAGCCAGGTGCTTCTCCTGGTCTCCCATGGGGTGCAGGGCCCAAGGACTTGGGCCATCCTCCACTGCACTCCCTGGCCACAGCAGAGAGCTGGCCTGGAAGGGGGCAACCGGGACAGAATCGGGCACCCTGACTGGGACTAGAACCCGGTGTGCTGGCGCCGCAAGGCGGAGGATCAGCCTAGTGAGCCGCGGCGCTGGCCAGAAATATATCTTTTAGAAAAGATTTATTTATTTCAAAGGCAGAGTGACATAGAGGTGGAGAGATCTTCCATCTGCTAGTTCATTCCCTAAATGGCCACAACAGTTGAGGCTCTGCCAGACTGAAGCCAAAAACCTGGAACTCTATCTGGGTGTCCCACATGGGTAGCAGGAGCCCAAGTACTTAGGCCATCTTCAGCTGCCTTCCCAGGCACATTAGCAGGGAACCGAATTTGAAGTGGAACAGCCAGGACTTGAATCAGCTCTTTGATATGGGATGCCGGCATTGTAAGTGACATCTTAACCTTCTGTGCTACTACTACACCAGTCCCCCAAAATATACCTTAAATGTACAAATTAGTTATTCTCTGATGTTTAGGTTTTAGTGAAAAATGGTGTAATGCTGAAATCACCTGGTTAAAGAGAACTGGAAGAACTGAAGCTATACTATCCAAGTCTGATGGAGATCAGTCTCCTGGGAAGATGAAGCAGACCTGGTCAGGTGTCCACCCTGGGCAGGCTCACCAGGTCACCCACCAAGCTGGGAGGCCCCTAATGGGGATGCTCTGAGAGAACCAGGGATATTCTTACCCCACAGTTTACCCTCTAGGTTTGATGAGTACAAAGGCAAATGTAGCACCTCACTTATCACGTACCCTAGTGAGCAAATGAGATGGCACCCTTGGGATTCCCTGCAGGACCTGGGTCCCAGGGGTGGGGGGCTCCTTGTTGCTCCTTCACTAACTCTTGCCCCCCCTTTCTGTTTCCCTTTCTGTGCTGCATAGTCGAGTGCTGGACACTCAGTCTTAGTGCTGAGATTAAACACAAGAATAAGACAATGAAATTTCTCCCAAGCAAGGGATGGGAAAAGAGATAGATGGTCATGGGTACCTATTACAGGGGCAGTGAGGCTGTGTGAGAGTCCAGGTGCAGACTGTGTTGATACTGAGTCCAGTACCTCATTTAGTCACTGCAAATGCTCATCCACCAAAAAAATCTGTGATTCTAAAACCGGTGAGTTTTTAAGACCAAAATTAGTTTCCTTTGCAATTTTGAAAGCATCCTCCATAAAGGATGTCTATGGCCTTCCCACATCAACATCTGAAAACAGATGCAATCTTTGAGGGAGTTACCCCTCCATTCCCTCTCTAGGGCGATGACGGCCTCCTGTGGGTCCTGAAGCCAAGGAGCAGAGAGCTTGAGGCTGTGCTGGGGAGGCGTCCTGCAGGCACTGAGTAGACACCAGGGAGGACACCGAGACCAGCCCCCTGCACCCCCTATTCCATGGCTCTGTGGCTGATGCAGTGAAGTGCTGCATCTCCCCTCAGATCAGCTCTAGGGAGCCCCATGATCACACACAGGACTGTGGGAAAATCTTGGTGCTCATTCATGTGGTTCTGATGACCCAAGGGTTCATAGTACCCAGATGCATCCACTAGATGTTTTATTTTTTCTTCTGGATATTCCACTATAATGTGGCTCATGAGTTCCAAACTCATGTGTTTTTATGGATTGGCAGAATAAAGAAAACCAAAAGTTGTGAGGCTGGAGGAGCAGTGGGAGAGTGAGGGAAAGGAAGCATGCAGGGCATCTTCACACGGAGTCAGGGTACACATTAAGATGAGCTGGATAGATGTAACGTATGAGCATAGGAGCACTGTCGTATCTGGCCCTTAGCAGCTTAGTTGAGTGCCTGCTGTTGGAGATTATCCATTTTCTCACTGAAATTAACAATATCTGGAAAGGCACTGTAGCTGAAGTGATTACTGTGGAGCATTATTCACCCTTATCTGGAAGAAAATATCCCTGAAATGACATTGGTGCAAATGAGCTGAAGCTTCCAATGCCCCAGGTTTCTCAGAGAGGAACCACTCACAGTCTAAGTGATAATGGAACTTACAAGTGCCATTCTCCCAGATGGAAGACATGAGCAAGGCTTCTCTGTCCCTCAGGTGTGTTTCATGACCCTCCAGGTTTGTTATGGGTTTATGTGTTTTCTTAAGGCCTCCTCTCATCTAAATAATTAGTGATGTGGTCATCATGAGAATGATAAGCCAGGCTTATTTCTGTCCCTGTTGCTCAAAATTGCTTGGCACAGGAGACTTTTATTTCTATTTCTGTGATTTTGGAGGCTGGGGGCAATAGATATTCTCCAACTGGAATACAGGCACAGTCTAATTTCTCATTTGCAGTTCATAGAAACTGATTCAGTGGTTGTTCATGATTTTTTCTCATATGATTTATCATTTTTTATGACTATTTCCAAAGAAATGCACAACATTGGCTACTCAGTAAAATCATGGGCTGATGTGTCATGCTCTCGAGTTTCCATCATAGGACAGGGATCATGGATTTATTTTATTGTACTTTATTGCACATTCATCTATGGTTCCTGCATGCGTAGACTTAAATCAGCCCATAGGGAAAAGTCCATATGTGAAAAGAATTCATGAATTTACCTAGTGCAGTTCTAGCCAGGGGCATATCCAATGGCTACTTGTGATCTCAAACAATTGGCTGTAGTTTTATTTGTAGTCACAAGAAACCCATGAATCTCCATTGTTGGGGCTTAACAGACCATATTAAGTAGAGGACTGATGATTTAAACCATGAAATATCTGAAAATTCAGAATGAAATATATAAGCGTTGAGAAGATTGGTGAATAGGATCCTGTTGGCTGTCTTCAATCCCTCCTTATTTGCCCAGTCTCATGCTTCACTGTGAATAGAGTTTACTTCCCTACCGTGTTGGAATGTGGATGACAGTGACAGGTCACGCTGAGCTCAGATAATCACAGGAATCACATGACTCTACTTGCTCCTTTTTGTGTTTCTTCTGGCCTCCCTAAGGATAGCAAGTCCCAGAGGTGGGCTTTTGGCCTAGTGATTAAGATGCTTGTTAAAGCTCTCGAGTCTCATATTGAGTAACTGGATTCAATTCCTAGTTCCAGCTCCTTTGATTCTACCTTCGGGCGAGTGCAGACCATGGGAGGCAGTGCTGATGGCCCATGTAGTTGGTCCCTGCCATGCATGTGGGAGACATGGATTGAGTTCATAGCTCCTGACTCCAGCCTGGTACCAGCCCTGGCCATTGCAGGCATTTGGGAAGTGAATCAGCAAATGACTTTCTCTCTCTGTCTCTGTCTCTCAGTCTCTATCTCTCTCCCTTCCTCCCTCCCTCTCAAATACATATTAATAATTTCTTTAAAAGTAAAGAACAGGGACCAGCTCTGTGGTGCAGCAGGTTAACGCCTTGGCCTGAAGCGTCAGCATCCCACATGGGTGCTGGTTCTAATCCCGGCTGCTTCTCTTCCAATCCAGCTCTCTGCTGTGGCCTGGGAAAGCAGTGGAAGATGGCCCAAATCCTTGTGCCCCTGCACCCATGTGGGAGACCCTGGCTTTGGATCTACACAGCTCCAGCCATTGCAGCCAGTTGGGGAGTGAACCAGCGGATGGAGAACCTCTATCTCTGCCTCTCCTATCTCTGTGTAACTCTTTCAAATAAATAAATAAATCTTTAAAAAAAGTAAAGAACAAGCCCCAGGTACCTACTGATCCCAGAGTGAAAGATGTCTGAATTACACATGTACTTGTGTTGCAGCCTAAAACAAAATGTTCCATTTGACCTGCAGATGTGGGAGCAATAAAATTAGTGTCTATTTTCAAAAGTCACTCAGATTCAAGGGGTTGTTGTTACATCAGATTAATTTAGTGACAGCTGACTGATAGAAATGTTTGGAAAATTTTTATACAATTCCACTTGACTTTTCTCTCATCTTCTTTTTGTTAGCTCAATCAGACAAGTCAACGCAATGGAGAACGGAAATGAGACGTTAATGGCAGATTTTATTCTCTTGGGACTCTTCCCCCAAATGAAATATGTCAGTGTCCTCATCCACATTATCATCTTGATTTACCTGGCTTCATTCGCTGGGAACCTCATCCTGCTCCTCCTGATATGGATGGACCTGAAGCTCCATACCCCAATGTACTTTCTCCTCAGCCAGCTTTCTGTTGTAGACCAGGCCCTCATTAGCACCACTGTTCCAAAGATGGCAATAAACTTTTTCTCTGGAAGGAAGAACATCACACGTCTTGCTTGTGGAACCCAGTTATTTTTCTTCTTTGCTCTTGGGGGTGCTGAGTGCATCTTGTTGACTTTCATGGCCTATGACAGTTACGTAGCTGTCTGTAACCCCCTGAGATATGCAGTATTTATGAACCATGCAGTCTGTTTACAAATGGCTGTGGTGTCCTGGATAGGGGGAATTCTAGCTTTCACAGCTCATACTTCTTACACCATGAGTCTGCCAACGTGTGGCTCCAGAGAGATCCACCATTTCTACTGTGAGATGCCAGGGATCATGAAGATCTCATGCGCAGACACTTCCACCTATGAACTGGTGGTCTTTGTGATGGGCATTGCATTTCTAGTTATCCCCTTTGGACTCATTATGTCTTCTTACACCCTCGTCTTCCTCAGTGTCCTTCGTATGAAATCCCCCCAAGGTAGGAACAAGGCCTTGGCTACGTGCTCCTCCAATCTTCTAGTGGTGAGTCTTTACTTAGGACCGTGTGTTTTCATGTCTATGACACCGGGTTCATCCCACACCCCTGAGCAGGAGCAGGCTGTATCTGTATTCTGCACTGTCCTCACACCCATGCTAAACCCCCTTATCTACAGCCTGAGGAACAAGGATGTGGTAGGGGCTTTTCAGAGAGTTGTGGGGAAACATTTGATCTCTGAACAGAAGACATAAGTGCCAATAAGATAAACAACTACATGGAGGACCAATAGGCAAAACTCCAGGAGCATCCACAATCCTATTTTCTGGCGTGAGGAGCTCTGCTCCATTCCCTGTGAGAAAAATCACATGGTTTAATTCAATCAACAATGTTAAAAAGTTTTTAATGGACATTTGTATTTAAAAATTTTTGATCAGAGTTGGCAAACTCAAAAGGCTTCCATAGCCTTGGTAACCCATGACAAGAGCCTAGGGTGATCACTGACACCATACACAAGAGTGTCAATTGTTAAGTCAAAAACAGGAGTCACTGCGCACTTACTCCCCATGTAGGATCTCTGTCCTGAGCCCAGAGCCCACTGAAACTAGGGAAGCCAGGCTAGGACCTAAAGCCACCCTCTCTGCTGTGGTCTTTGTGCTGCTGAGGTGGACTCATGGCCTGATGCTGCTCCTACCCCACTAGTGATGCTGCATGAGGTATCAGAGTGGTCAGCAGGAGCCTCGGTGCTCCACTTGGCACTGAAACTGCTCTAGAGACTCTGTCTTCTGGCACTGGCCTGGGCACAGGGGCCATTAGGATCTGCTCACACTGGGTTTTCCTGGCCTGAATAACAACACAGTCCTGTGGTTCCTTGCTGATGGCCACAGGCTGTAGGAGGGGAGGTAGGAGGGCACATGTGGGGCTCTGTGCAGTCTTGAGGATACCCAGCAGGCCCAGGTGAGGCCAACAGTGACACATGCTGATACAGGTCTACCCTACCTTACCCTACCCGCCTCATACTGGGGCAAGTCCCGAGACTCCATACACAAGCACTTGCGCAGAGATGGGAGCCATTAGAACCTTCCGTGTTGGGCTTTGCCAGCCGATGCAAGTTGTGCTATTTATGAAAGACTGTAAGAGGTTGATAAAGGCTTCTGCTTCACTATCCAGACTGGCACCCAGCTGGACTACACCTGGGTCCCACAGTGGATGGGCCCTTGGGGTACTTGCCAGGCCTCCAAAGACTGGTGATGACACGTGCTGTAAGGAGTCCCTCCCCCTGGAGTGTAGGCCTCCACACAAGGCCTGGCAAGTCAGAGGCTTAGTCAATGAGGACTGGCCTGTGTGTAGATGCCTTTACCTATACCTGGTACTGGTCTTATGGGGGTGGGCTCTAGCTCTGAGCTCTACTGCAGGGTCCTGCACTCCCTCTGCTGCCCTACTGTGCACCTGATCTTAGCCAAAAGGCTGAGAAGTGATCCTGCCCTACTCTGCAACAACCAGGGTCTTGCTGCAGTTCCAGCTGGCGGTTGGGGAAAGGGTGGTGGAGTTGGCCTGGCTGTGGAGGTCCAAACACTCAGTCTGCAGGTGTGGGCTGCTGGACTCCACCCGAGTCTGAAGTTGGTGATGGTGACGGTGGGCCTGACACAGGGATTCTGTCTCCTCTCTCCCTCCCCCAACCAAGAGCTGACTGTCCATACTGTGCTACTTGGGGCCAGGGCAGGGGTAACATGGCACCTCTTTCTTCCTGCTTTCTTCAATGCAACTTTCCCAACTATTCTACTAAACCAGGCACTGTGTGGTCTCTATCCTAGCTTCCATAGTTGTGTGACGGCAACTTGCTCTGTGGATAGCTGTTCAAACTGTAGTCCTCGTGGAGGTGTTTGCTGGGGCACCTTAGTCAGCCACAATCTTTCTTCCAGCCTATCATATTAATTTATCCACAAGAAAAGCTGAAGAAATTTTAATCAGTTTCTAAATAGTTGTTTCAACATAGTGGAATTCAACTGTTTCTCCTTGACACCAGTGATAAGCGAAGCCAAATGCCCAAACTTCTCACTTCCTCCTGGGTAGAAGTTTCTCAGTGTCCCTTGAGGTGGGACTCATTCAGTGTCATGGGTGGTTCAGGTATTGTCACTTTGGAAGCACTGACTTGTCAGACAAAAGTGTGCCTGTGGTGGCAGTTACAGCAGTCCCAACAGGGCGATGCTGTTTTCCCTTCTGGCCCTGGGTGGAGACGTCCCCAGTGGTTCTCAGACAAGCAGTTACTTGCACAGCAGTGATACACAGTGGAGGGAGCCTTCCTCCTGTAATGAGGGTACCTAGTCCTGAGTACAATAGCAGGGCTGCTGTGGGTGAGAATGAAAACATTAGTTTTGTTACCAAGACTTTGACTAGAATATCGTATTAGAGACGGGGCATGGAACCCAGCATGATGAAGTTGGTCTAGGGAAAAGAGTTTAGCCTATGAAGCAGAGAAAACCCCTTGGACAAAAGTAACCCCTGGCCTGGTCCATGACTTCTATGATTCTCCAGACTTCAGGGTGAATGAGGAAGGAATACAAAATTTCCAAATGTTTTAGGGACCTGGAGAAGGAAGCTTGTATTATCTGTCTGTGAGCTGGCCTGCTGATGACGGCTGATTTTCCATCAGTTTTGGAGGATGTCTTTCACGTGCACTATCTCAGGTCTCCTCGTGGAGTTCTCTGAAATGCCCGATGTCCAAACCAGAGACACTCAAACTGCAAACCAGGAAACATGCTTCAGGCCATCCTCTAAATCTCCTTGGCCGATGGGCCCCGCCCCCCCGACTCAGGGATGGAACTTCGAGTCTGTTGTAGACACTGCCCTTGGCTTTCCTCACTGACTTTAGCTTGGATTTTAGGGGCCTTCCTAAGAAGCAGGCTACTGTCTTTGGGAAATGATAGGAAAAGGAGGTTTAGACTCCAACTGAGTGCCCTTCAACCTGGGATCCTGACCCCATCCAGGTCTCCCAGGCACTGAGGGATGGGGCTGTGTTTGCAGAATTGTGCACAGTCAAGGGGATGGCATCAGGGCAGGAGAGGAACAATCAGCAGCCCAGAGGGCCTTGGGAGCTCTTCCTGCTGGAAGGGTCCATGTCCTGGACCTGGAGGAAGTGACCTCACTTCCTTGGTGACGGGCCACAACAGAACATGGAACTCTGGTAACCAGGCACCCACATTCTAGTGGTAGCCATTGCCAGCTCACTTGATAGGAAACGTTGCAGGGAGAACTATGTTCCCTTGCTGCTGCCCTTCAAGGCGAGGCTCTCGCAGAGCCAAAGCCCAGAATGAAGGTCTCTTCCAGCGTGTAACACGCTGGCTGAGCTCTCACTATGGACGCCTGTGGCCACGGGGGAGGAGGCAGCCACAGGTAACAGGGTTTAGCAGCCCCGGAAAGTCCCGTCCAGGGCCGGAGTCTCTGGTGACCCCGCGTGGGCTGTCCTCCCGTTCCCAAGAAGGAAACAGGAGGGGCCCTTCCTGCACAGCACCAGGATTCAGGCATTGGAGGATGGCTGTGGTGTCGTCCGTACCCATTCCAGGGATGGCAGATGGGAAAGTGGGTGTTGGGGGCCCTTTTGTGTACTCAGGGGTTACACCTGAGTTCTCCTGTGTCCCCTGGAGTCCTCCTGGCTGGGGGTATACACAGATGTCCCTACGTATGTGACCTGGGGAGTGGAAATACTCACAGAGTGTCTCCTGTGGGACACTGACGCCTTCTGGCCTGGCTCCGGGCACTCTGTTTGCAGGGCTCCACGCTGGAGATCAGCAATGATTCCCATGAGGAACTCATCTTCTCAGGCAACGGACAGGTGCGTCAGGCCAACAGCCGTGGACAGTGCTGGGCTGGGCTGAGGGAGGAGTCTAGGGAGATACACAGGCAGGGACTCAAGATGAGCAGGCTGGGCCGAGGACCAGAGCCTGGATATAGGCACCTCTGGGCCCCGTTCTGGTGTTTCACTCCTGAGTGACTGACCCCAGTCTCGTTCCTAAGAGATCTCGCCCCTATGCTGCCCACTGACAGCTGGGTTATGGCAACCCCATGTCTGGTCCTGGTGGGATTTTCAGGGGACAGGTTACTACTGGTTCCCTGGATACGAAGTCTAGAGCATCCACGTGTGACAGCACTGTTTTCCCACCCAGCCCGGGAATCCCGGGCAGAGGTCAGCTCCGCTGTGCTTCCAGACCTCCCCACAACCCACGACGGAGAACCCAAACCCCACACACAGGGGTGAGTCTTACACTCAAGAGAGAGAGAGAGAGAGATAGAGAGAGAGAGAGAGAGAGAGAGAGACTACTGCAATCATGTGTTGGCACTGTGTCTCTTGGTCTCAGCCCTGGAGCCCCCACCCGTCTCCATCCTGTTCCATGAGAAAGGACATTTGTCCTGCGGCTCAGCTGGGATTCCAGTGCTCGTCCCCGGCTGCCCTGCTGCAGGTCACGGCCTCAGAGAGCGCCCCTGGAAGCCTGGTCTGCTGGGCAGTCAAGCCCAGGGCCCACACGAGGGCGGCTCTCACACAGGAGTTTGCACACAGTGCTGGGGGCTGGATGTGCCTGTGTCTCCTGCTTGTACATGTCCATCTCTGTTCCCATGTTCTTGTGTTCTCCTGTGCTTCTCTGTGTCCTTGTCCCCTCTCCTTATCAGCATGGCAGAGCTGGGGCCCACACCATGGCCTGGCCTAACGTCCATCACCTCCTCAGGAGCACATGGCACATGCAACCACACTCAGGGACGCAGAGTCAGAGCGTCACCGTCGCTCTCACAGGAGCTAATGCCCTGCTGAGACAGAGGCCCAGACCGCACTTGCTGGGGAGAGGGGCTGAGGTGTGCCCCCTGGAGCAGCCACGGTCACATCACCGTGCAGAAGGGCTGTGGCCGGGACACCGCCAGCTGCCATCTCTGCACTGCTGCTCCCAGCTGCTGGCCTCCCTGTGGGGATACTCTGCCCTCCCCACTCTCCCACACTGCTCTCTATGTGGCCAACAAAGTCACTCTGGGCCTTTCATTCCCCACCCCCCAGGGATGTGAGGGGTCACCTGGTGCAGCTGGATGCCCTCTATGAGGGGGTCTTCTCCCAGCCCAGACTCCAGTGGTTGGGGGTCCCTGACTCCTGTCCCTGCTGGTCCCCCCTAGTTTGGAGGTGTGTCCACACTGCACCTGGCAGAGGTCTGCCCCCTGCGGAGCCTGCAGCCATGCACCGGGGCAAAGCTGGAGGAGTCCCTGGTCCTGGCCTCCCCAGGAAGAACCATTGCTTACCTGTCCACTCTGCTGTGCTCATATGACGACTTCAGTACTGTTCCGTATTTCCTGGACCAGATATTCCATAGGTGAGTGTCTGTGCCCTCCAGACACACGGGGCCTCTGCTGCCCCCTAGCCGTGGCTCTCTGTGCTCCTCTGAGAAGTGGGGTGGTGTGGGCGTGAGCCTCAGGGGTTGACAGGGACCATGTGACTGCAGACATGGCAGAGGCCTGGTGCCTGCTCTGTGGCCAGGGCTTCTGGTGCTGCGCTCATCCCTCTTCTTCTGGTCTCTGCACCCTCGGGACTCAATAGCCCACGGCCCTCAAGGTTTGGAAAACCCCACAGAGAGCAGCCCTGCCTTCCCATCTGTAAAGGAGGCCTCCCAGCCCCAGGCCCTGATTCAGACACAGCAGGGCCCGGGCACTGGGTGTGAGGCCCAGGCCCCTCAGCTCTCTGGCAAGGGTCCGAGTTTGGTTCATCACACAGCACGTGAATGTTAAACACTGGGCAGTCACTTTGCAGACACGCGTCACAGCTCAGCGAGCAAAGCAGACAGCATTCCCGGGGCCTCTTGACCTGGGAGGACCCAGACTCTCCCAGCTGAAGGCCTGCCTGGGTCCTGTGCACAGGGTCAGAGGGAAGAGCATGCGTCCCCCCATGGTCTTGCCAGGACGTCAGAGCCCAGGCCCCACTAGGACGTCAAGGACTGTGGGTCCAGTCAGAGGCCTTCTGTCCCTGCAAACTGTGGGAGTGAAATGTGGGCTGTGGCTGGGGAGGGACAGACAGGGTGTGGATCTCCCACTTCCTGTGACTCCTCTGAGAGTACCGAGGCCTGGGGACTCCCCACAAAGGAAAGGAGAACAGAGCTGGGAATGGGGTCCCAGACCTGCAAAGGAGAGGGGAGGCTGGGGCACAGAACAGCCAGGGGTCCATGCCCAGCACAGGTGCTTCCCAGCTCCACCCACACTACTCACCCCTGCCCCAGGAGGCCCAGACCTGCAGAGATCCTGAGAAACCTGCTCCCAAGTCTGCCTGGAGCCTCCGTGCTGAGAACCGGAGGCCCTCCCCTCAGGAAAGGTCACTGGGAGGCTGTCACCACAGGGTGTGCACCAGCCCTGTTGACCAGGTCTCCCATGGCCAGGGCAGCCCAGGAGGGCTTGGGGGGTGGGGTCATGCTCTGGATAGGCTGAGGCATGCCCAGGGTCCCAGAGTCACAGAGGGGCCCCAGGCAGTGCAGTGTGATGGCCAAGGCCAGCCTCTGACCCTGCTGCCCTCGCTTGTGTCCCCAGCAACATGGCTTCCTTCCTGGGACGCTGCAGAGACCTGTACGAGGCAGAGCTCCATGGCCGCACCAGCCTTCCACTGCTGAAGATGAAGGTGGGCTGCAAGCCTGTCAGCCTTCCTGGAGGAGATCTGGGGACCCAGGTGTACTTTCTGTATGCCCTGCCCGGACACGTCCAGCACCCTGAGGCCAAAGCAGACGGTGAGGGGCAGCACAGTCTGCAGGTCTCTCAGGGGCGGTGTTTGGGGCTGGAATCCCCTTCCATGCAGTACGACCTCTCGGTGTTTGCAGAGGCCACTGGAAGGTGATTCACGTTGGCGACCCTTTCTCTTCTTCCAGCTCCTGCTCTGCGTGCAGGGCCAGCACCCTTCTGCGTACTGGCTCTGGAGCCAGCTGCAGCACCACTGGCTCAGCCAGGACCTGCTCCAGAGTCAGGGCCAGCTTCCCCATGGGGCCTGCCCCCAAGCGCACAATCAGCACCAGGGCCAGCTCCACAGGCCTCCTCTGGCTGGGCTGGGACTGCAGAGAGGCTGCTTGGGGAGGAGATGGTTGACATCACCGCCTTCTCCCCCAGGACGATGGCAGAACAGCTCACGCTTCTGGATGCGGTGAGCAGCCGGCTCTGCTGCGCAGGGCCAGGACCACGGCGTCCCCGTGGCACCTGCCGTCCCACACAAGCCCTGGCTAGAGTCAGCCCAGGCTTCATGTCTCAGCCCCAGTGTGACCCAGGCTCGTTTCTCATGTCCTAACCCACCTGTCCCCTGTGGACAGCAGATGTGGGACACACTCATGCCAGGTACACAGAGTGACAGACAGAAAGCTGGGCACGGTGTGGCCCGGTGGTGGTGGAGGGCACTCACTGAGGTGCAGCCTGGCCCCCCATCCCTGCCGGTCTGCCCAGAATGCCTTACCTGTCTCAGCAGTATTAGGCTTCAGAGTTGGACGGGGTCCCAGAGCAGACACGCAAACAGAGCCCCTTGGTGTAGCTGCCACAGGGAGGTGCGCTGGGATGGGGACAAGGAGCACAGGGCTTATGGCGATGGGCTGAGGGATGGGGAGTTGGCCAGGATGCCTGGGAGAAAACACCTCTGTGTCTTCTCTCCAAGAATGCGCTCTGGGCCGTGGGGCTCTGGGCACCCTCAGTGGGCTGCTGCTCCCACCGCTGTGAGCCCCATGCACAGCACCCCTGCACTCTGAGTGGGGGTGGCTGTGCCCATGGGACACTCTCCTCCCCAGGAGCTGTTCCAGAAGGTCGTGCCCTTCCACTGCCTGGGCTCCGTCTGGACCGAGCGCAACAAGAGAGGCAAGGAACACCTGGCCTCCACTGTCCGTGCCACCGTCCAGCAGTTCAACTGCGTGACAAATTGTGTAGTAACCACATGTTTGAAGGACCCCAAAATGAAGGCCACGGACAGGGCCCGTGTGGTGGAGCACTGGATCAAGGTGGCCAAGGTCAGCTGCGGGCAATCAGGGCCCTCGCTCACTGCACTCTGGGAATGGCCACTTTGCTTTATCAGCCCTCGGGAGTACACCCTGTGGCTGAAGACCCTGCACAGACCCTGGGCCCTTCCTGGCAGGGAGGGGCCTGACCTGACTCACTTCCCCCAGGGGTGCATGCTCACCTCCCACCTGAACCTCCGTGTGGGTTGAACCCAATCCTCTCCCTGTGAGGGTGGTCAAAGTGCCCTCGTGCCTTCCTGTGGCTCCGTGGGCATCTGATGCAGGAGGGGGACGTCAGCCCAGGGGGATCAGGTGACTTCTCCCTCATCCGCTCTGCTCTCCAGGAGTGCCAGACCCTCAGGAACTTTTCCTCGGTCCACGCCATCCTGTCTGCTCTGCGGTCCACCTCTCTTTACCGTCTGAAAGAGACGTGGGGAGAAGTCTCCAGGTGGGTGCCTGTCTTGTCCAGGAGCTCCAGGGTTGCCTGGGACCCCAGGACTCAGCACTAACCCCCATGAAGCTGAGAAGGGCCAGTGGCCAGGGACTTGGGGACCAGACATGGACCAGTTGGGGAGGGCAACTGCCTCCCTCGGTCCAAGGCCAGGATATCTGTCTCACAGACATTTACTTAGTGTCAGGCGCTGGTTCCTTTTTAAGATTTATGTATTGTGTAAAAGTCAGAGTTATGGAGAAAAAGGGATTGACAGAGAAACCTTCTACTGCTGGCTCACTCCCCCAGTGGCCACAGTGGCTGGGCCAGGCCCAAGCCAGTGGCCTTCTCCATCTGGGCACCCCTGTGATCACATGGGATGCTGGCATCACAGCCATCAGCCTAACCCTCTGCACCACAGCACCGGCCCAAACCCAGGTTCTTAACTTGCCCACCTGCACCTGCTCCTGGGCAGCACCAGAGCTCCCTGTGCAGGTGAACTTGAGGCAGAACAGTGTTGCTCAGTGGAGGGGAGGGGCCCAGGAGAACCACTTGAGCTCCCTGCCTGTCCCCTGGGCACCAGGGCTTAGGGAACTCAGTGGGAAACTCACCTGGGCCGTGTGCATCCTCCTTGCTCTCCAGTAAAGGGAGCTGCACTCACCACCCTCCCATCACACTGAGTAGCTCCTCCTGGTTTCCCATCTCCACAGGAAATGCTGCAAAAAATTTGAGCACCTGTGTGAGAAGGACAATGGCTTGAGCAGGGATCGGCTCACCAAGGTAGGGGGGCTGGGATGTGGGGCAAGTGTTTGGGGGGTAGAGTGATTTGTGGGGTGAGGGCCTTGTGCAGGGGTGGTATTGGCTGGCAGGACAGGCTCTGTGCCCCTGACCCCACCTGGGCTGTGTGGCAGAGTGGCAGGAAGGGCTTCCCTCCTTCCACCAGGTGACCTCGGTTCCTCAGGGAGCCAGGCCTTGCCTGGGATCTGCCTGCCCAGGACCTGCATGGGGAAGGCTGCCTGCCTGCACTGGGGAGGGGGGAACCGAACAACATGGGTGTCCCAGGGCCCATGGTAGACGGCTGCCGAGCAGCAGGTGCAGTGGGCACATGAGAGACAGACACCTGTGGCTGTGATGCCCGTCCTGCCCTGACCCACTGCCCATCACCTGAGGTGCTGGGATTCTCACCCTGCGCAGGGCAATGACATCATCTCCAGGTGGATGAGGAGAAGTTCCTGGGGCCTCCTCACACATGCCTGCTGGCTCTGTCCTGACCACATCTTAACGCCATCCACCTGATCGAGGCAGCAAAGTGTGGCCACCCAGATCCTGTGCAGGCCCTGCCTGTCACTAGAGATGATTCCTGGGGGCCACTCACTGAGTGGAAGGGGAGATGTGCAGCAGAAGCTGTGGTTCATCGTCAACCCTGCTGGGGGTGTGGGGAGCACCCAGTGGGGCTGGGTGGCCAGCACCTGTCAGCCAGGCCTCCTGAGACCACCTGGCCCTCTCTCTCTATGGCTGTGCCTGGCCAGGGATCAGGACACAGAGAGCCCTGATGGACTCCTGGCCAGGGGTGCAGCTGGAGTTGGGGTGAAGCAGTGGGATGCCGGTCAGCTGGGGGCAGGGCAGGCTCTCCTGTGTGGCCCTGGGCTGGTCACTGCCCATGGCCTCTGATTTCTCAAGTAGAGGATGGGGCTGATGAGCCTGTTGTGCAGGGCTCATGGGGGTCGGTGAGGCACAAGGAAGGGTGATGCGCGGTGCAGGGCCTGGCCTTCCTCCCAGGGGACAGTGAGGAGGAGGAGGGCAGGCATAGGATACTGAGTCAGGACAGCTATGGGGGGGTGCCCAGCACCCTCGCCAGCCAAGGAGCAGACCCAGGGAGGCCCCTTGCTCAAGGTGCCCCCAGTGAGGGTGGGAGCACAGAGTGCACTTGGGGGAGGGGGTCAGACATGCAGGGCCCCAGCAGAGGGCCCAGGTGTGGGCAGGGGTGGGAAGGACAGGCCCTGTGACCCTGACCTTGATCCTGGCAGAAGGGAGCCTTCAAGCTTGCTTCCCGGGAGAAGAATCCGCAGAGAGCACAGATGAGGCTGCGGAAACAACAGAAGGTGTGTGTGCCTGGGCGAGGGGACTCCTCCGTCACACCAGGGCCCGAGCCACAGGAGCAGGGCCTCCACCTCCAGCCCTCCCTGCAGTCCCCACACTGCCTCAGTGGCCTCCACCGGAGAGACCAGAGCCAGGGCCTGGGGCAGCTGGGCTCTCAGTGCACTTGGGGCTGAGGTGGCACTGGGGGCCACACGGCCTGTGTGCCCTTGGACATCCCAGCAGGAGTCCTAGGGGTGCCTGCTGTCCTGGGAGTAGCTGGGAGGATGGAGAATGGGGGAGGCTGCCAAGGTCCTGATGGCTCCCAGTGGGAGACATGAGCCATGATTCAGGAGCTGGGGTGGAGGGGTCTCTAGGGCCAGGGCTCGGGGGCAGCTGAGAGCAGGTGCTCATCACCACCCCCTGTGGCACAGGGAGTCGTCCCCTTTCTTGGCACCTACCTGACAGACCTGGTGATGCTGCACACTGCGATGGGGGACTCTGTGCATGTGAGTGATCCTGGGGCAGGTGGGGAGGGCCGGGTCCCTGAGGCTCGGGGATGGGAGAGCCTGGCTCGAGGACCTCATGAGAGGGGAGGGTCAGGGCTGGGCCCAGCTGGGGGCGGTTCTGATGGACTCTGTCTGCCTTCCAGCAGGCTGACATCAGCTTCCAGAAACTGAATAAGGTGAGCAGCTGTGTCCTCACTCAGGGCAGGAGGGGAATGGGGGTCACAGGTGGTCCTGGTCCCTGCAGCTTTGCTCTATTAGGAGGGCTAGGTGCACATGAGGGGGAGACCCATCCCTAGGGTGGGTGCAGGTAGAGGACTGGAATCAAGGAGAAGCCCCTGGGGAGGGGCTGTTTGCACCCCCTTCGGAGGCCAGGGTGGGGCCTGCATGGGGTAGAGTGGAGGAGGCCTCTTAAGAGGAAACACCCAGAACCCCGCGGCCCCTCCCCTACCAGGTCCCCACAGCGTTCCCAGCCCAGGCCCTGACAGTGTCCTGTGTGTCCCTCCGTCCCCAGGAAATTACAGTCCTGCAAGAAATCCAACTGCTACAGGTGGCAGCGAGCAAGTATTATTTTAAGCGTGATGAGGAGTTTGTCGTGTGGTTCCGGTCTGTGGAGTTTCTCACGGAGAACGAGAGGTGAGTGATGGGCAGGAATTAGGTGAAGCCTAGGGTGGGGGTGGGAGGGCTCTCCCTGCTGTGCAGCTACAGGGAGCATCGTCCAGGCCCCCTGGTGGGCAGCAGGCCCTGTCCCATGGGCACTGCTGGCCCCAGGACTGCAGCTCCTGGACAGGCCCTGGGAGGGAGGCCTGAGCTGAGGCTCTTGGTGGACTCATGGCTGTGCTCTCTCCATTAGCTACGCCCTCTCCTGCCAGCTGGAGCCCTCAGCGAAGAGGCCTGCAGTGGCCTCAAGGCCATGAACGCCATTGTGATGCCCTGGTATTGGAACCTCAGGAGCAGATCTGAGCTCATTGTGAGCCTGGTGCCTGGGATAGTGGCCTCCCTGCTGTGAAGCTGAGGCCTGCGTTGTATCAGTTTAATTGCCCCACTTATGTTTTCTCTTTTTCCTATTTAACTATAGTCACTGTTAGTAACTCCCTATTAGAATTTTATTAAAGTTAATATAAATATGTTGCACCATGAGTTTTATGTTTCCTCGTCATTGCTTCCCCATATCTGAGGTTGTGAGCGGTGTTCCACCTGTGCAAATGTGCCGCGGACACTGGGCCCCTCCTAGTTGCAGCTCCAGGAGCTGCACCTTGCTGGTTGAGGTTCCCTGAGATTCTTCTAAGAGGAGCTGGCAGATCATTTGGTGCCTGGTGTAAAAACACTGCCTCACTCCTCTTGCACTTTCTGTCCTGTGTTTAGGATGTTACTTGTGGAGCCCTCTGTGGATCAGATGTGGTCTTTTCTTTGCACTGTTTCCACTCAGTGCTTTGTCACCAAATATCCAGAGAATTTTCCAAGCACGCAGCCCAGATATCCATTGCCAGACGATAGCCTCCTTGAGTTTTAGTAGGAAGTGATATCATAATAGTCAATTTTTCCTTTGGAAATTTATATTCATTAAATAAAAGTTAAAATAAAAAATAGTCAATTTTTCTTGGTGAAATAAAGAGTGACCTAAAAATGATTACATATAAATGTGTGTGATGCGTATAAATTATACCTGTTGCTGATATTTTTAATGAGAAGTATCTACCTTCTGTGTTTTACCGGGGATTTGAACCTTTTTCAGAGAAGAGAAGGAATAAAGGTCTCCATAGTTAGATAAGAGCAGACATGTGTGGCTCCTTCTTGGCTTCTAAGGCTTGTGTGCACATGCACATGTGTGTGTGTGTATGTGTACACATGTGTATGTTCATGATTGAGGTAGATCAGGGATACAGGATGTGTTATCCTGAGGTGACAATATTCTAAGTGTTACTGCTTTTATATTTTTATGCTCCAGTATTTGAAAATAATCTGCATTGTTTTTATAGTTAATTAATTATATGTTATACTCTTAAGTTGTATATCTCTTGAAAATAAAATATAGAAAGAGAAAAGCAGAATTATTTCAACTATTAATATTGTGGGCTTTTAAAGTTTGGTTTTGTTAATTCCAGTGTCTTTCCACACAACTAGAGTTTTCAGTTGCATCATGCCAATCTCTGAGGATTGGATGCTGCGTTTTGGGTGAATCCTCAGATCGAAGTGGTTAGCAGACACGGGAGATGGACATTTCATGACACTTTCTCCTGCAGTAGGCACACTGGAGTACAACCCCAACGCCCCTCTCAGATCATGTCTTTAGGAGGAACTCACTTAATGTGGATGCATCTTTGCTGCCACAGATTATGGAGAAAGGCTGGGGAGGTGTTCCAGACAGGGAGCAGACAGACCCCTCTTTGGCAGGTTGGTCTAGCGTCAGAATAGAGTAGAAATCATGTTCCATGCACCATGGAGGACCCACACTGTTGGGGTTTTAACTGTCTCAGCTGTCTGGTACTTTAGGTTTATTCAGAATCATGCTGCCAGATTACTTATGTTGAGGGGTTCAAAACTGGGTGGCCTGGACCTATGTAATCAAACACAGCAGAAGACAGCCCTCAAAGCGGTCCCGACAGGCCTGGCTGAAGTACAGGACATCTGCCTGTTTGGATGGCCTGCAGCTCCAGTTCTCGAGTAAGGGACCCATGTCCACCACGGAGCAGCGGGAAACCATGGAACCATTATTCATGCAAAGGTCCTGACTGCAAAGGTCCCTGTAAAATGTTCTGGGGTTCAGTCTGTGGAATTTATTTGCTTTTTTTTTTGACAGGCAGAGTGGATAGTGAGAGAGAGAGAGACAGAGAGACAGGTCTTCCTTTTTGCTGTTGGTTCACCCTCCAATGGCCGCTACGGCCGGTGTGCTGTGACCGGCACATCGCGCTGATCCGAAGCCAGGAGCCAGGTGCTTCCCCTGGTCTCCCATGTGGGTGCAGGGCCCAAAGACTTGGTCCATCTTCCACTGCACTCCCAGGCCATAGCAGAGAGCTGGCCTGGAAGAGGGGCAACCGGGACAGAATCCGGTGCCCTGACCGGGACTAGAACCTGGTGTGCCGGTGCCGCAAGGTGGAGGATTAGCCTATTGAGCCGCGGTGCCGGCCCAGTCTGTGGAATTTCAAAACCATAGATTTCAGACAAAAAATGACTGGATCTAAATGTTAAGATTGTGCAAGTATGTATACAGGTGTACATGTAGGTAAACCATTTTAAAACATACATCATGAAATGGAAAGATATTTCTTAAAGATGGGTCGAAGTTTGGAGCACCACCAAATTCCTGTTTATATGTCCCATTTATGATCTGTTTGCTTCTGATAAATAGGATTTTCCATGATGTATATTGAAGCCATCTATGAGATTTCTCCGTGATCACAGTGCCTCATTGCTGCCTTTAGCTAACGTTAACTGTGTGACTTTGGAAAAGCAGATTATCTCCTAGGATCTGCATTTATACACTTTTAGATTTCTTTGAGTAAGATAAAGGAAAACTATTTTTATATGCAAAATAAGCCAGCATCTTTATTGGAAAATGAATTGAATGTTCAATCTAATTATGGTAACAGCAATTTTTTTTGTATACCTGGGTTTGTTGCAGCATTGTTCACAGTGGCCAAAAGGTGGGGCTAATGCAAACACCATAGATAGACAAGTGAATAGAGAAAACGTGGGGGGTACACATAGGAAGGAATGTTACACAGCCTTTAAAGAAGGCAATGCTATCCCATGAAACAGCATGCAGGAATCCTGAGGACTTCAATGCTGAGTCAAGTCAGTAACCAGAGGATAAGTATAGTGTGGGCCACCTCTGTGATACCTGTAGGAGCCACAATCAGGCAAACAGAGGAGGATGGTGGTTGCCAAGGGCTGGAGTGGTATGGAAAAGGGAGCTGTGTATGGATCCAGAGCTTCAGCTTTGTGCAATGACAATGTTACTGGAGCTCAGCTGCTGGGTGTGCTAGCCAACTGTAATGAAGACAGCACATCTGACAGACCAGTCAGGCATCTCAGGAAGGAACTGTGGACCACACCACATTGGTAAAACAGTTTCACAAGTTCAGAGAAGTGAAAGGATCTTAGATATCTATGAATTCACAATGGGGGCTTTACTATATTGTTCTAAAAGTTCATAGAAATGGTCAATTTTCATTTCATACTACAAGGTACATAGCCTCATATTTCATTCACGTATCAAGTTGCAACAATGCAACATTACTGAGTGCGTTTACCTGTGTTATATTTACACATCTATCAATTGCCAAATATTTCATTAGAATATTGCATTATTAAGTCTCACATAAATAAAGATGTTTGCTCCTGTATGGTTTTCATTTTAGTTAATTATAGACATGATATAAAAATCCAGGTAATGGGGTCCCTAGATCAAAGCCAGGTACATTTTTATGCTTCCATACCTCTATTTCTTGATTGTCATTCAGTGAGAATGGAGATTCCGGGCCATTTAGCAGACAGTGTCATCCCAGTGAAGGACCAAACTTAGGAACTTCAGCGTATGTAACTGCTTATATTGGAGACAAATCCATAAAGATGATTGCTATCAGCAATACTATTCCCTTCAGAAACACCTATCTCACAACAACAGAACATCCAGAAAGTATGAGAGCTTTGGAAACCATTTAAGAAGCTGCATAGCTCAAACAAACGTGAAGCCAACAACAGCCCCAAGTCATTTATTTTTTCCCACAGTGGCTCTCCCCTAAACCAGTGCAATTGTGAGAAAATGCCCAGCATGGGGCCTCTCCCCTGCGGAAAATAGGTGACTGGAACAGTCATCCAACATTCTGGCGTTTCTGTGGGCTACCCAAGGAATTGGCTCCTGTGCTTCTGCACTCAAGTTGCTGATGGAATATTTTGGATGCCCAAGGGCTACTAGGAATAAAGACAAGCTGGATTGCTGTAGCAACTATAGACGCTCCTAAGAGAGATGGGAAAATCTGTGTAATTGGGAAATTTCTTGTACAAACCCAGAGAAAATGTCTAAAAACACTGGAGTCCTTAATTTCTTCTTGGGCTGACAGTGCTGCCCTGTCAGTGTCCAGTCTATAAAGAAGGAATATTTAAATGCCTAACTCCCAACAAAAACTAAAAAGCATATGAAAAAAAGAAATATAGATCGACCAAAGAAAGTAAATCTAGAATCTAACTCTAAAGAGCTATAAGAGAACACAAAGAGAAAACTAAAGTAAAATTAAAAAATGAATAATGTTGAAGCATGAGCACAGAAAGAAACCATGAAAAATCAATAAGCAAAATTGTGGATCTGAAAAATACAGTAAGTTGAAAAATTCACAGAAGAGGTTCAATAGTAGAATCGAACAAATAGAAGAAAAATAATCAGCCAACTCAATGAGCGGTCATTGAAATTACTGAGTCAGACAAGGAGAAAGAATAAAGGGTAGTGGAAGAAGCTGAAGGAACTTACGGGGCAGCACTATTGGAACAACAGAGAAGTGTGGGAGACTATAACACAGAAGGGAGAACAGTGCAAAGACCTCATCTGAAGAGACAACGGCTGGAAACTTCCTGGATGTGGACATCCGCATTCAAGATGCTCAATGGACTAACTTGAGGATAAATTTAAAGAGAATTCCATAGAGAAACATTGTGATTGAACAGTCAAAAAAAAAAAAAAAAAAAAAAAAAAAAAAAGGACAAAGTGAGGACCTTAAAGCAGAGAAAAGTGTCTCATCACATTCGAATGAACTTCTGTAACATTTTCAGATTTCTCAGCTGCAACTTTACAGACAAGAAGAATATGGAAGGAGATGTTTACATGGCTGAGAGAAATAAACTTCCAAACCAACGTGTGTCTGGCAAAAGTGTCCCTGCAGCAGAGACGACGACTTTTCTCATATACAGAAAAGCTGAGGGTGTTTGTCTGTAGATTGGCCTTACAAGAATTGTTAGAGTGCCCTCTCATGGAAACAAAAGGACATTACACAACACAAAAACATGAAAAAAAAAAAATAGAAAGCTGTCTAGTAAAGTGTAGAGACAATACAGCACCTCTCATACTGCAGTGATACATAAATCACCTTTAAATCTTGCATGGAATTTTAAGATAGACTCATAAAGTGATTAGAA